CGGTCGTGTTTCTAGTCGTAGTAGTGGTAGTAGTAGTAGTAGTAGTAGTAGTAGTAGTAGTAGTAGTAGTAGTAGTAGTAGTAGTAGTAATAGTAGTAGTGGTAATAGTCGTAGTAGTAGTAGTAGGAGTGGTCGTAGTAGTGGTGGTGGTAGCAGTAGAAGTGTAGTAGTAGTCGTAGCAGTAGTAATAGCAGTAGTAGTAGCATTCGTAGTAGGAGTAGTACTAGTAGCGGTAGTAGTGGCAGTAGTAATCATAGTCGCAGTAGTAGTAGTAGTAGTAGTAGTAGTAGTAGTAGTAGTAGTAGTAAACGTAGTCGTAGTAGTAGTAGTAGCAGCAGTAGTCGTAGTAGTAGTAGTAGTAGTAGTAGTAGTAGTAGTACTAGTAGTAGTCTTCGTGGTAGTAGCCGTAGTAGTAGTAGTAGTAGTCGTCGTCGTAGTAGTCGTAGTAGTGGTGGTATTAGTAGCAGTAGTGGTGGAATTCGTAGCAGCAGTAGTAGTAGTAGTAGTAGTAGTAGCCGAAGTAGTAGTAGCAGTAGTTCTCGTAGGTGTGGTGGCAGTGGCAGTCGTAGTAGTAGTAGTAGTAGTAGTAGTAGTAGTAGTAGTAGTAGTAGTAGTAGAAGTAGTAGTAGAAGTAGCAGTAGTAGTAGTAGTAGTAGTAGTAGTAGTAGTAGTAGTAGTAGTAGTAGTAGTAGTAGTAGTAGTAGTAGTAGTAGTAGTAGTAGTAGTAGTCGCAGTGGTATTAGTAGAAGAAGTAGTAATTTTAGTAGTAGTCATAGTAGTCGTTGTGGTAGTTGTAGTAGTAATCGTGGTAGTCGTATTAGTAGTGGTAGTAGTAATAGTAGTAGGAGTAGTCGTAGTAGTAGTAGTAGTAGTCGTAGTAGTAGTAGTAGTAGTAGTAGTCGTAGTCGTAGTCGCCGTCGTCGTAGTAGTAGTAGTAATAGTAGTAGTTGTTGGTGTAGTCGTAATATCATGTTCAGTCGTAGTCGTAGTCGTAGTAGTAATAGTAGTAGTACTAGTAGTAGTGAAGGTAGTAGTATTTGTTGTAGTTAAAGATATTACAGCAGCAGTAGTAGCACGACTAGCCGTAGTACTAGAAATTGTAGTAGTCGTAGTAGTACCAGTAGTAGTGACAGTCGTAGTAGTAGTAATAGTAGTAGTAGTAGTAGTAGTCGTAGTAGTAGTAGTAGTAGCAGTAGTAGTAGTAGTAGTAGTAGTAGGGGTAGTAGTAGTGGTAGTAGAGGTTGTAGCAAGAGTAGTAGTAGTCGTCGTTGTAATAGCAGTAGTTGTCGTAGCAGTTGTAGTAGTACTAGTAGTAGTACTAGTCGTAGTACTAGTACTAGTACTAGTACTAATACTAGTAGTTGTAGTAGTAGTAGGAGTAGTAGTAGTAGTAGGAGTAGGAGTAGGAGTAGGAGTAGTAGTTGTAGTACTGCTAGTAGTAGTGCTAGAAGTAGTAGTAGTAGTAGTAGTAGTAGTAGTAGTAGTAGTAGTAGTAGTAGTAGTAGTAGTAGTAGTAGTAGTAGGTAGTAGTAGCAGTAGTAGTAGTAGCAGTAGTAGTAGAAGTCGTATTAGTAGGAGTAGGAGTGGGAGCAGTAGTAGCAGTAGTAGTAGTAGTCGTAGTCGTAGTAGTAGTAGTAGTAGTAGTAGTAGTAGTAGAAGAAGTAGAAGCAGTAGTATGAGTAGTCTTAGCAGTAGTAGCAGTAGTCGTAGTAGTAGTAGTAGTAGTAGTAGTAGTAGTAGTAGTAGTAGTAGTAGTAGTAGTAGTAATATTAGTAGTAATAGTAGTAGTAGCCGTAGTCGTCGTAGTAGTGTTGGTAGTAGTGGTCGTCGTCGTAGTAGTAGTAGTAGTAGTAGTAGTAGCAGTAGTACGTAATACGGAGCACGTAGCACGTAGTACGTAGTACGTAGTAGTCGTAGTCGTAGTCGTAGTAGTAGTAGTAGTAGTAGTAGTAGTAGTAGTAGTAGTAGTAGTAGTAGTAGTAGTAGTAGTAGTAGTAGTAGTAGTAGTAGTAGCAGAAATAGTAGAAGTAGTAGTCGTAGTCGTAGTTGTAGTTGAAGTCATACTCGTAGTCGTAGTCGTAGTCATCGTAGGAGGCCAGGCGGGGGGCGTGACATCGGGGACGCTGGGTGGACCTGTAGGGTGGGGAAGAACCACATCGTCGGAGCTCTGGGGGCTCAGCATTGTCGCCGCTCGTGGTTTGGACTGTCGACCCGAGGCCAAGCGCTCGGCTCACTACAACGAGTTCCAGATGCTCCAGGCGTTTCGGCGGGGGCAGGGTGGCGCGGGCGCTTCCGACGAGTCCGACGGGCAGGACTGAGAGTGGCAGCCCGCGGGCGCGGTGGCAGCGAGCGCCGTGCGCGCCGCCTTCCCGCCTCCGCCTTTTCTCTCCGCTGACTTGGCTCCCCCCCGGGCACGGCTGCTCCTGCTGCTCCTGCTCGCGGCGGGGCTCTCGCTCTCTTGTGCCCCCCGCCCTGTTCGCTCCTCGTGCTCCCCTCTCTCCTGGCGTGCATCCTCGCTTCCTCTTCTCTAGCATCCTTGCGTCATCTGTCCTCCTTTCGCCGATCACCTTCCTCGTCCCCCTCGTTTTCATCGTGCCTGTGAGCATCGGGCGAGTGCTGCCGAGCGTGAAGTGTCCGCTGACTTTGGTAAGGTCCTGCGGGTGTGGGGGGGTCGTGTGCCAAGCCCCCTCAGATGGTCCAGCGCACGATTTTGACCAAGGAGACCAGCAACGGAGACAACCAGTTGTTCCCATCCAGGTGGCTGGCCAACGCTTTCTCGGACTTCGAGGGCCACGGGGCCGAGGGGCACCAGGAGGATTAAAGAGGAGGTGCTCGACGGTCGGCTCAGCTAGTGGATAACTCAGGGCCAGCCTTGCACTTTCTGCCAGCTCTGGTGCAGTTCGTGGGAGAGTTGCCCATGTACGAGCCTGCTGACGGCCCGATGCTGGACCTCTTCAAGCATTGGACCTCGCTGTTATGCAAGACTCTCTCCAGCACAGAGGCCGCATCCAGGAAGCAGGCTGACACGGATCGGAGGGAGTGGTTAGTGTTCAAAGCTAAACGGGTGGCCCTTCGGGTCCACACGGTCTCGAAGGTAGCTGCGCCGTCAGTCCCCAACACCACCCTCTCGCTAGGAGGGGTGGTGGTTGCGGACCCTCTGTTGCTCCTTTGTGCCGAAGCCACGCGTTTCTCTGACCTCTGGGGGCAGTCGGGGTCCGATCCGTGGTTCGAGTTAGGCGATCTCGCCCCCGAGTTTAGGCGAGGTCCCCGTGGAAGCCATTCGTGGAGACAAGTTGCGCGATCGGAGTGCTCCATCTTGTGTAAGGATCAGGCTGCCACGGTTTTGCTCGACCTCTTTACAGATGTTCTGAAACAGTTGATCTCAATGTGCTCCTGATCAGGTGTGGGCAGATGCATTTCCCGCTGGCCATCGCGAGGTTGGCGACATCCATGCACCGTCAGGCTCAGTTTGTTGTCAACGGCTTCGTGGATGGGCCCTGTTGGGCCAGAGGGGGCCTAATCGCGGGGCTGCGCTTTTGCGACCTCGCTCAACAGAGTCTGTTCCGCATCGTCCCTGGATCTGTTGAGCATCCCGCCGCAGGTGCATTTTTTTAAACATCACATTGACGACTCGGGTCTCAGCGCTACCGACTCGAAGCAGCACACTGTCCAGCAGTTGCCGCTTGTTTTTTGTTCCTTGCCTTGGTACATATTTTTTGTGGAAAAAGTAGGAGCCAAGGTGAATGAGTATGTGGGGAAGCGATCGCTGATCTGTTCTTCTAAGGTGCTGGTTCGACCTCACCTCGGCTCCCAGCCTCGGTGTGGACGATTGTGTAGGCAAGCCCAGACGTCTCAAAGGGTGTGGCTCTTAGCAGAAGAGGCGGAGAAACAGCCAAGGGTTTTGTTTCTCGGCTGGCCCGTTTGAGGCTGACGGCGGTGGGCCGTGGTGCCAACCACGTGTTTGCCTCGGGCGTGTAATCCTCGGTGTGCTTCGGGCCTGAAGTTCAGAGGCCAGTGACTACGAGCTGCTGCGTCTTCGTCGTCAGTCCGCCTCCGTGCTTCGGCCTGCGGATGCGGATTTGTAATCGCACTTGTATTCGCTCGCGGAGAACTGTGCTGGCTGGCGTCGGTGGCGCATTTTGCTAGATGGTCTCTTTAAGAGTTTGCGATTGCTCACCACGGCCTTTACTTTCACGCGTTGTCTCTCCCCGAGATGCAATGTGCATGGGGCGCGGGTTTCTTCGAAGAGCCTCTCCTCTGGCGTTCGTGTTGTGGGCGGATCGTTGCCACGAGCAAGTCATGTGAACGTTTTCTTGGTCCATGCCGTCTTTTGCTGTGTCCCGCAGCGACGAAAGCGAGGAGGAGTGTTTCACGAAGTACTCGCCGAAGCTAGTTCGTTCCTTGTTACGTAAAGCTGTCCTGCGGGAGTTTGAGTGGGAACTGGGGGCCAGGCTCAACATGCAAGGCCGCGATTGCAATGACGGCGTCTTCAGCTATCTAGGACTCCCGCGGCCGACTTTGGCGACCAGTTGACCTGTTAGCTTTGCCCGCCCTGCATAAAAGGCGTCCGATACACGTAGGCATCGAGTAGTCAGTGCCTCGAAGCGGTGGGACTGAGGGACTCCCTGGTGGACCTCAAGATCCAGAGGTGGGCGAACGACACGGAGTACCACTTGGCAGTCTCCGGTGTGTTTCCACATCCCGGCGATGTTTTCTTCCTCTCAGCAGCGGGTGGCTGCAGAAGGCTGTCCCAAGGATGCTGACAGTATTTTGAGTGGAGACCGATTCGTCTACGGATCGCGCCCCAGATCCATCGTGCAAGACTTTGAGTAGGCGGGTTGGGCTGTCACCTTGGTGGACAGGGAGTTTGGGAGGGACGTGGTTTGCGTCAGGGGGCCTGTGGGGCCCCTGTCCGCAGACCTCCCAGGCGGCAGAGTTCTTCGCTCTGTTTATCGCTGTACAGTGGAGCACAGGACCATGCGAGGTCCATTCTGGCAGTCTGAACCGTGCTGATTTTGCCGCGATGCCTTGGTCCCAGCAGATCTCGGCCAAGCGCATGTTTTCTGGCATCGCCAGGTACACCCTTAGGCACCTCCAGAAGGTCAGGGCGCTACATGTGAAGACCCACCTCGCAGCCCCCATCGGGGCTGACCAGGGCTGGACATAAACGGTGTTTGGGCGATTTCGTGGGCCGTTTTCGGTTCGATGTCATTTTGAGGTAAAGGCGGATTCGAGACAAAAGCGCGGGAACACGAAAACAAAACGATCACGAAAAACATTGTTTAGGTTCAGCCCTGGGGCCGACGCAGCAAGCCACGCAGCGAACGGGCCGACGTGTCGGCCAAAGTTTGCGGCAGCCTGGCAGCCTTCGCCCTTGGCCCCGCGGAGCTCTCGAGGGTCTGGCAGCAGCAGGTCCTTCTAGCGGCGGCCCGTGGGGCGGTTAGAGGTGCCACGCTCTTGTCTCTTTGTGGCCGAGGCCGACCTTGCATAATCAGGAGGGAAACCAAAACACACAGACACAATGAATCGTCGATTCCCAAGAAAATATGGGAAACTATGGGAAGTGGGAGGGGAAGACGAAAACCCAGAACATATTGGAATGTATAGGATATCCTGTCATTTGTGTCTATTGTTTTGTATGTCCCAGGGCCCCTATATGTTGGGCTTGTCAAAGCGCTTGCCAGGGAGTGGGTCCCGTCTTAACCACTGTGCATTTGGCACTGGGTCGGGTCTTAATGGTAGTGTCAAAACTGTTTTCGTGGTAAGTGTGGCCAGCCGAGGGTGGAACCTCTTGGTGGTGCGTGCTCGTGCACCCCACCGCATTTGCGACCGTCCGTGCTCAAAGATCTTTGCCATCAGTGCGCCCTGATTGATTGATGGTTCAGGCGGGGCCTCTACCTGTATTTGCCACAAGTTCGGGTACCACACTTCAGCCGGTCGCCTGGGCCGCCTGGGGTAGAGATGCGGGTCGCACAAAGTTGCCTCGCACAGGAAAACAGGTCTTGAACATTCGTCCAAGAACCTTGGATGTACTATGGACGTTAACACGGTTTGCCATCTTTCAAGCTCGTGCGCTGCTTGTCGTCCATATTGTTGGCGGTGTATGGGGCTTTCTTCACACGAGGCCGCCGCCTGTGTGTGGCACACGTGGTTGAAGTTGGGTCGACGTTACACCCCCCCATATGTGCCCCTTATGTCTGAGTTACTTATCATTCGTTTTCTCTTCGTCTTTCCCTTTCTCCTTCCTGTGTCTCCTTCCTCATGGTCTTCCTTTTCCGACCTGGGCCGAGTTGCTGATTTGCGGCCCGCGTGGAGCAAGTACCCCGCATTCCATACAATAGAACTGGAACGCGTCTTATTGATTCCTCGTCCCTTGTCCTTTGTCCTTCAATCTTCCCTTTCCGTCTTCTACCCTTCGTTCATTGCTATGCCCCCCGTCTTCCTTCGTCATCGTCCTTCCCTTCGTCTCCACATCCTCTTCCTTTTCCTTCCGCCTCCTTCCTTACGCTTCCGCCTCCCATCACCCATCATGTTTCGTTTCCCCTCCTCCTCCGTGTCCACTCCCCTTCTGCCCCATTCGTGCCCTCCGCTCCCCTGCCTCCCCGCGCCAGAACTTGTTCAGGAGAAGGTGCTGCCCCCCCTCCCCGCCCAGTGCTTGGCCCTCCCCTCCCCCCTCCCGCTCCCCCCTCTCCCCGCCTCCCCTCTGGCGGCGGCGGCGGCGGCGGCGGCGGCGGCGGCGTCGTCGTCGTCGTCGTCGTCGTCGTCGTCGTCGTCGTCGTCGTTTGTGCCGCTGTGAGTCGTCGTCGCCCTCGCTGTCGCCGTCGCCGCCGTCGCCGTCGCCGTCCTCGTCGCAGATCCGCCGCCGTCGTCCTTACCGCCGTCGCGCTGGGGGCCGCCAGAGCGTCGGCGTCGCCGCTCGCGCAGGTGCGCCGGCGCCGGACCCCGCCCGCGCGGGGCCGTCGCCGCCACCGCGCGGGCGCGCGCCTTGGGTCGCTGTCAGCGCCGTCGCCGCCGCCGTCGCGCCGTTTCGTGCCGCTGCCGCCGCACGGCGCGATTGACGTCGCCGCAGCCGTCGCGGCCGTCCCTGTCGCGGCCGTCGTCGCCGCCGCACGGCGAGAACGACGACGGCTGGCGGTGGCGGCGACGGCGACAGGGACGATGATCATGACGATGGCAACGGCGGCGGCGGCGACAAGGACGACGAGGACGGGCAGGTGACGAGCCCCCCGTCCGATGCGTGTTTTCCTATTGTGCACTCCTCAGCGGTCCTCGTATGAGGAGGAGGAGGAGGAGAAGGAAGAGAGGCAGGAGGAGGAGGAAGAGGAGGAGGAGGAGGAGGAAGAGGAGGAGGAGGGGGCGGAGGAGGAGGAGAGGAGGCGGAGGATGAGGGGGAGGAGAGGAGGAGGAGAAGGAGGGAGGAGGAGGAGGAGGAGGAGGAGGAGGAGGAGGAGGAGGAAGGGTAGGAGGAGGAGGAGGAGGAGGAGGAGGAGGAGGAGGAGG